GGGGCAGGGGAGTGACTTCCCTCCCCCCCCTACACAGTGCACACACACACACACACACACACACACACACACACACAGACTGGCTGGCCACATCAGGGAGAAGTAAGCTACATGCTGAAAAGAACAGTAGCAAATCATTTTTCCCCTCCACCAACACCCCATCCACTGCAAACATAGTGCCCTTGGGTTCCTCATGGGGAAATACTGCTAGGGACCGCTCCTTACACAGGGATGTACATAAAATGCACAGAGGGCTAGATTGTGCCCTTGGTGTGACAGGCTGTTAGGCAGGGGTTCGGTGGGGCCACATGGCAGCCGAGTACCCAAAAGTTTTAGGCTGATTCTGCCAGAATTCCTCCTTGGGGCTCCTGGGAAGCCCACACTTGTGTGGCAGCTACACCACTCTTGGAGAGGATGCATTGTGTTTCCCTCACCATGCTCAGCAAACTCTGATGAGTATAGACCTGACCTCACCCTGTCATTTTCTAGGCAGCTAACACCTGTCGCCTTGTAGGTATATACGCACATTGTGCCAGGCTCTTGCTGAGAGGTTCAGGAAGTACAGAGGGGCTCCTTGAAGTCTTCCCCCAGCACATCCATGCATGGGCAGCCCACAGTCTTTTCCACAGTGTATGATTACTTTAGCATCAATAATTGTGAAGGAAATGGTGTACACTTTGTGAATGTGTGCTGGAAAATGTGATTATTGCATGAACCATAAATGACACATTTGTGCTCTCACCTTGAATATTAAGACATTTGAACAAGCTAATGACTACATGCAGAGGCTCTCCTCACTCCAATACTCATGCCAATTCCCACTGAACTCAATACAAATTAGAGGGCCCGTCCTCCTTCCTACAGTAAAACCTATTAGAGGGGACCTAGGTGGGGGGATCGAGGGGAGGAATACACTGCAAGATTCCCTTTGCTGAGGTTCCTTCAAACTCTTCCATCATAGGGTGGGACTTCTTCCCTGTGTACATAGCAGTGGAATTGCCCCCAAAAATTTTTCAAACAGCCAATCTTAAAGACCTTCTTCTGGGTGCCTGTGTACTGGGAGTGGGAAGCTGTGCTGGGGTTAACCCTTTGTTCCGCTTACAGGTCAGGCAGTGCCCTTGTGCTCTGTTACATGTCTACGGGTTAAGCCTTCCCTTCCTTTTCCCCAGATGACTTCTTAGGACGAACATCCTCATCACTTGTCACTAAAAACGCCTCTTCTTTTATGTACAGAATGAAGTCACTTCCTTTTCTGGAAGAATTTGAAGATACCCAAAACACAGTTATTATGCCTGAGATGAACCGCATGTCCAGCAATGAACCACAAACTTCTTCCCTCACCTTTGAAACAGAAGGACAAAATAACAGGAAGAACTTGATGAGTGCCAACAGGGGTTTGAAAGATTTGCCTTGTAGCTCTCTTACTGGTGATAGAGGAAGAGACTTCATGCCCTGGCCAAAAAAAGAAGCCCCCCCAGTTCCTCCACGGAGCACTTCTCGACATCTGACAAGCTCACTTTCTGCAGCTGTACACATCTCTGAAGTACCCATAAAAGATTCAGGCAGCAGAAGCAACTGTAAGGTTCAGGAGGGTAGGAATGGAAGGAAATGTATTAATCCTTCTCTTGCAAAACAGAATGAAGCTCCAGTGGTACATGCAAATGAAGGGAAGTCTGTGAAAGGTGGTGCAGAGGTAACTGCTTCAGTACCTATAGCCAAAAAAGAGAGAGTCTCTGAGTGCAGTGTAGCGGCAGATTTTTGTCACAACACATGGTCATGTGATGTGGGCAAGCTTGGAAAAGGTACTCAGAATGGATCTTCCTTATTGTCTGCCCAGAAAAGCTGTTCAGATGGAAATATGGTGCAAACAGAGAATGTGCACAGGAGACATTGTCCTAACTCTCCTAATGTTCTACATTATGGTAATGACTCCCGTGACCCTGCAATGCTGCCAAAGAAGACCCAAAGAAATGAAATGTTGGCAGCAAAGATTGATGAATTTAACAGGATTGTATTTCATACAGATAAATGCAACAAATCTTTGCAAGAAAATCAGAAGCTTCAAACACCAACTGGAGATCATAAACACTGTGGCCCAGGGTGTGACTGTATGGTTAACAGAACAGAAACTGTAAATGCATCTTATGTTTCAAATCCCAGACTCTCTGCAGCAAAGAAACAGGATCCCTGCAATCCAACCAAAACTGCCAGAACAACAGGGCAACAAAAGCAAATAACTGGACTTCTAAGCACCAGTGGCTACCGGCATATGCTTCATGAGCATGATTGGAGATCAATTAATTTATCTGGTCGCCCGCGTTCAGCTGACTCAAGGTCAAACTATGGAGTTGTTGAAAAACTTTTGAAAAACTATGAAAAATCAACAGTGACTTCTTTGTATAATTCTAAATGCTGCAAAGATAAGTGGACACAGTCAGATTCTGAGTTCACAGATGGGAGTTGTGAGACATTGAGTCAGTATTTAGAAATGCTCCAGATAGAGCAAGGAAAGCAAGAGTTTCAGAGGAATTCAGCCAGGTGTGTTGGGAAGCAAGTCAAACAAGGCAAAGAGAGACAGAAGTTACCAGAGGTAAGATTTATACCCAGCTTCAGAAACAAGCCACTTAAATGGGACTGTCCAAAATATCTGTTTGTGTAATATTAGACACTTTGGGTATGATCCTTATCTCATTTACACCTGTGTGAATCAGGAGTGATTCCATGGAAGGTAATGGAGCTACATCAGTGAAAGATAGGAGTCCTGTGGGACCAGATTCTGATCTCAGTTACACTAGGGTAAATCTGGAGTTTAACCTCAGTGTAGTTACTTGAGATTTGCACTGCTATAACTGACATCAGAGTCTGGCCCATTCTCCCCCCTCCTCCCCCCACCCCCCACACACACACCATCCCTCCAATGACTCTTTTCAAAAACCTATTAAAAGGACTTTAACCCAGCCTCCCATGGCAAAACCTACAGGGGCTGAAGAGCAGTCTCCAGAATGATGGCTGTTGCTTGTCCCCTGAAGGTGCCATGCTGGGGTTTCTATAAGTTTCCAGTAATGGAGCATTCTCACACATTCTTCCAGCAGACTGCTGGCTGGAAGCACGCAAAGGAAAGGATGTAGAGAAACTGGAAAGGATCCAGAGGTGAGCGACAAAGATGATAGAAGGGATGGAATGCAAGCCATATGAGCAAAGACTGAAGGAACTGGGTATGCTGAGTTTGGAAAAGAGGAGATTAAGGGGGGATATGATAGCGGTCTTCAGCTACTTTTGAAAAGCTGCCATCAAAAAGATGGAGAAAAGTTGTCCCCTTTTGCCACAGAGGGCAGGACAAGAGGCAATGGGTTCAAACTACAGCACAACAGATTTAGATTAAAGCTCAGGAAAAGCTTCCTAACTGTAAGAACAGTAGGACAATGGAACAGACTGGAGGTTGTGGAAGCTCCTTCACTGGCGGTTTTCAAAAGGAGGCTGGATAGGGCCATCTGTCTTGGATGGTTTAGACACAACAAATCCTGCATCTTGGCAGGGGGTTAGACTAGATGACCCTTACTGTCCCTAGTAACTTCTATGATACCCTCATTAGCTCCTCACAGAAATGGGGTAGACTCACTTGGAGCTGTGAAACCCCATAGGGGAAAAAAAGTATGTCAGATCGTCAACTGGTATAATTTAAATTGGCACAATTCCATTGACTTCAGTGGAGCCACGTTGATTTTAACAGCTGAGAATTTGATCCTATAGATTTTCTTCTGACCAAGGTCTGAGCCTAACATAAGGGTGTTTTTGTTGGTTTGGGGTTTTTTGGGTCAGCTTCACCAGTGTGCAGCAGTTGGAACACTTTTCTAATAGTGGGGTGCTGAAAGCCAACCCCTTACCTCTGTCCAGAGCTGGGGCTGGGAGCAGGGCTTTGTCTCCGGGAGTGGGGGACCTGGGTAAAGGGGCTGAGGCTGGGGCCACAGCTGGGGGTGGGAGTAGGACCAGGAGCAGAGCCCCACGCATGGGGCTGGCAGCCAGGACCTCGGGGATGGTGGCAGCAGAGCCCCGGACACAGAGCTGGCAGCCGGGACCCCGGAGTGGGGAAGGCAGCTGGAACCCCGTGTAAAACTTGGGGGTGCTGCAACACCCCCTGAACCCCTAGTTCCCGCGCCTGTGGTGTGCAGCTAGTTTTCAGTAGAAACAACTTCGTTCTACCATAGGCAAAAACAAAAACAAAAAAAAGGAGAAGCTTCTGATTTTTTTGCTCTGTGCAAATCTGATAGGAAATTTCCTCAGTGAATATTTGGAGCAAGAACAATGAGCCAGTTTGATTTTATTTTTACTGGCATAAATCCAGAGTAACTCTACTAAAGCCAATGGGCCTGACTCTCCGCTGTCTTGCTCCTAGTGTAGTCATTTATGCCCATGTAAAGTGGGTGTAAAATACTAACTAATCAGTCTGGCAGCATTTTAAACCCACCTGCACTCACTTTGCAAAGGTATAAAGAACCACACATGGCACAATGCACTGAAGAATCACATCTATGATAACTACTCTGTATTTACACCACTGAAACAAAGAACAGAATCTGGACTGTTGTCTTTCATGTGTTTGTGAAGCTCTGCAGCTATGACACTATATTAATAAATAATCATTATTAACAATTTATGAAGTGCAAACATCTTCACATAACAGTAATGGAAATACAGTCCTATATAATGAGCCTTGGCTGTTACAATAGGATCCATCAAACGACACCTGAAAGGTACATGGAATCCTGTTTCAGTGTATTGCTGTCTATTGAGTTATGTTTATGAACCAGCATAAAAGTTCATCCACATAAGTTCCAAAAATGAAAAAGTGCCTGCAGGATCAATTAATTTATGCTTTGCATATGGGTTAAAATCTTATATCTTCCCTTGTATCTAGCATCCATGTCAACATATCTCATGCTGCAACTAATGTAAGAATTCCTATATATAGAAGTGTCTCTTCTTTTGCATTCTATACATTGCTATGTAAATACATCCTCAGGTCCTTTTAATAGCCCAAGACCACCTGTTCTGAGGTATGCCACTTCATTCCTTTTACATTCCACGAACGACTGTGTTATAACTTGTTAAGGCAAGTAGTTTCATTTGTGTTCTAGATATCTGTGCCAGATAAATGTTCAACTGGGAAAGGCTTCTCCCGGCCAGCGCGACCAGCAAATCGACGCTTACCTTCCAGGTGGGCATCCAGATCACCTTCAGCACCACCTGCTGTGAGAATGACCACACACAGTTATTCTCTCTCACTTCAGTCAGAGACGGCAGTAGTCTGAACTCAAGGATGAATTTGATGATGTTGTGAAATGTGAAAGCTCTGCGCCTCTTTATACCTGTGTGTTCTGTGATTGTGATAGCAACCAGTTCTACACTGTTGTATATCATCCAAGAGTAATCCTGTCACTTGACTTACTGGGCAAAGCATTTTCAATCTTAGATCATCATCGCAGTCTTCAGTGTTTTTATTGATGAAATAATTATACCCCTTGTTTTCTTTTTCTCTCTCTTTCTTTCTTAAATGGCTCACAAAGAATTACTTTTGAATGACATCCTCCTTGGTTTGAGTTGATACAATGTATAGTTCTGTATATTCTGACTTTTCTGCAAACAGCAGAAAGTAAAGCTGTATGCATGATCATGTGTTTGTAGGTGCATGTGTTGGAATAGGAAGTATACAGGTATGTATTTAGAAGAGACAAACTCTGTGCTAGTGTTGACACTGAAATTACAACATATATGCCTATATATACTTTGTGTTTATTTAAAATTTTTGAAAATATAAAGTCCTGATGACATTTATATTTTGTATATCTTTTATATAGTTTCACAGGTGTAGTGAATACACTTTTTTGACTATAATTGCAGCGTCAAGGGCTTGCACAATATGTATCAGAAGCAGGCTAGCTCAGTGGATTCCTCAGACGTGCTTGATGGCATACTTGTTTGGTTTTTCAACCCTTATGATGCTAGGGTCAATATAGCTGGGCATATTTTTTCTGAATTCAAATACTATATGATTAGTACTATATTAGCCTTTTTCATCACCTGAGCTATTCCTAAAACGTTCTGCTGCCTTAAAATGCTTTATACGTGCCATTTAATATAACCTACTGTAGGGAATTAACTCCTATAGTTTCAGCTATATTGTAATATACAGTTTATGGAGGAAGGAAAAGGATGGTAAGCATGGCAATTCTTTCAAATTTGTTTTCTTTAAAAACTGTATTTAAAAGTATAGCCACATCAAAGAAATTTAACCTGTTTACTTTCAGTGAAAGCAGGAGAATAAGGAATGCTATGATTACCAAATGCTGAAGTTATGCTTTCTTACTTTGATACTGGACTTCATAGAGTGTAAGCCAACAGCTAACTTACTGCTCCCGTGAATGGTATAAGTGGCAGTCAGTTATGAAGTTTACTTGCATTCTGGCAACAGCCGACATACAGTACAGAAATATTGCCTCAAGAGCTGAAGGAGATATGATCATTGTGGTGCCAGGAATCCTAGACTGATGGTATTAGAAGTATGTTTTTGCCCTCATCTGTCTGTATAGTATTGGCCGTTAGAATGCTGTGTGTGTAGGCTGGCTTATTCCCTTCCTACCGTTTGAATGAAATATTGACACTATTCAGCATTTTTGTTCAACTTGTTCAATAATGACAGTGTTCTCCATTCCAGAAATTTTATACCCACCATAAAGTTGCCAGATGCATAGTGTAGCAGGGGTGATAAAAATTTTCCTTGAACAACCAGTTAAGATATTTTTTCAGTTTACTGATATTTACTGCCTACTTTTGATCATCAACTTGCTGAATAACATAGAAAGGAACAAAAACCTGCTGTATTCCCTGGTGTATGTAACTTTAATTAACAGAAAGTTATGGAGGTAAACTAATATGTCAAGGACAAGTCAATTTTGTCAAGATCTTCTGAGTCCCTCTAGTGCATATACCTTGGTTTTGACATCTAGAGATCTCAGTAATTTGTGCACTATAAATACCCTAGAAGCCTAGGTGGACATATTGATTTTAGAAATATACAACTACAGCTGTTTAAAAATGAAGTTGTCTTTGCAGGAGTAAGCACGGCAGAGCCAGTTCCCAGCATTGTGATAACCACAGCTTAGCAGCTGTCTTAAGTAGCCTTAGGCTAGGTCTACACTACCCGCCTGAATCGGCGGGTAGAAATCGACCTCTCGGGGATCGATTTATCGCGTCCGGTCGGGACGCGACAATCGATCCCCGAATCGACGCTCTTACTCCACCAGCGGAGGTGGGAGTAAGCGCCGTCGACAGAAAGCCGCAGAGGTCGATTTTGCCGCCGTCCTCACAGCGGGGTAAGTCGGCTGCGATACGTCGAATTCAGCTACGCTATTCACGTAGCTGAATTTGCGTATCTTAAATCGACTCCCCCCTGTAGTGTAGATGAACCCTTAGTGATGTGACATATGCTCTTACTTGCTGTAGAAGGAAGGGGTACTAGCTGGCTTTCCAGTTTCCCCAATGTGAGCTAAGATTGAGAAGAGCTGCCATGCTGGAGCTTCTGAAGGGACAGAGCCTCCAGAACAAAGAAATCATAAATCTTCAGAGTGGGACATAACTTTTCTCCCACCCCTGATCTCACCAAATGAAGGGCTCCACTGCTTTTGTTTTGTGAGTCTATTGTCAAAATGACAGGTTGAATGTTATGTGTTGGCTAAAGTCTCTGTGTAGATGTACACTCTTTTTATTTACTCTCTGAACCACTGTGAGATTCTCCATACTGCTCAGACTAGGAACATGACTATATTTTACTTTGGCCCCAAAATAAATCCAGTAGAGAGTCTGCAGAGTTCTAAAAGCCTAACTGGCAACAATTAAATAGAAACCCCTCAGGCACAGTGGAGTTAGCTGCCAACCCAAACACTTACCAGGTATTGAAAATATGTGAATGTCACTATGAATCCGTTGCCTCCCTTCTTTGATGCTCAGTTACTTGTATTGAACACAATCACAAAGGGATTGTGGCCTTGTCTACACATAAAAGTTGTATGAACTTAACAAAATCAGTTTGTACGCCAATTTGGTTAAATCAGTGTAAAACCTATGTATAGACCAGACCTTCGTAATGTGAGAGAGACACCACCCCAGCCAACTTCCCTTGGCTGAAAGGACTGGTTGGCCTGATACAGAGCCCTTGGGCAGGGGGAGAAGGAATAAAAAGGTAAATCTCCAAAGAAATGCTCATATATCCTTTTGCCTCTAGCTCATCATTCACCATCCAGTTCTATTTAATGTTTTATCTTTGCTCTATAGTCTTAGTTATAGTCTTCTTATAAAGAGTACATTTTAAATGATGCTAAAGTAATGAAACCAATACTTCGCTTGTTCTCTGTGAGCCATAGAATTAGTGTGTTGACCTTTACACATACTGTAGGGGGTGAATTGGCCATTATCAGAATAAATTGCCAAGCTGTGTAATCTAATTTTTCAATGTTCTTTTGAGCACCAGTTACTTTTTACTGGCCTTTGATTCTGTTCAGTATGTACACAGTTGACTATTTAAGAATATGTTTCTGCTGAAACTGTAAATAGGGATCTTGTATCAAAATGACCTCAATATTATTTTTGCAAAGTTTCACAGCATCCCAGCAGGCTGGCTAGCTACATCCCAATTTTAAGTTATGGACCAAGTATAAATTCCCTGGCATGCAAAAAGTATGCAATTTTCACAGTGTTGCTATGAAAATAATTTCTTTGGCATTGGGGCCTGCAATATACAATTCTATCTAGTATACTATCATTATTCTTTCTTGGAGTAATCTGTAATATTCTTTTTGACTGTGTACGTCCTCTTTAAAATGAAAGGCAGAAGACATTTACTTTTAACTGCTAAATCTGAAAACCTTTTTTGCATCTGGCCTTTCCACCACTTCTTGATTCCCAGTGGATGTATGTTTTCTGTGTGGTTCCTTGCCAATGGTCCATATGTATATGACATACTGTAGGATTTTCTGTTTGTACTGCACTCAAGATTTTCCCCCCAACACATTTTGTTCTTAAACCTGTTGATACTGTTGCCATCCATAAATATATTAGATCTTAATTTACTGTTTTGCATCATTTGAAATGCACTTTCTTCATCAACTGTTAATGTCATGTACTATATAAAACTTGTTACTCTTATAGTTTAAGGATGGTTAATCTGTTTCTGAGGTTGCTTTTTTTTCTTTTCTATTTATAAAGCATTTACATTAGCAGGAACATGTTCCTAATGTGCATTGTACAGTCAGCAGCTATGTGACTATGACATTTCATACTTATAGTGCCTTGATAGGATATTACTCTGAAAAGTATTGTACTGGAACTTCCTTAGAGTAACACAAACTGAACCCATAATATGAACAAAGTCAAGTGTATGAATAAAAATTAGGAAGATAACAGAAGAATCAAATATCAAGGCGCTACACTTGGAGTAAATGTGTGGCTAGTTCTTTTCCGTTGTAGTGCCTGTAGCGTATCCTTTGAAATTTCCAGGAATGTATTTTTTTCACCTGTGCTTTGTGGATACCAAATTCCAGTTTCCCTGCTTTATGTGCTTTATAGCAGCAGTTAATGCTAAAAAATATGCATTTTTCCTGAGTGTTTATCAGCATCTGTATGGTTTCACATGTTAATCCTTCTAGTGTCATTGTTGTTTTACCAGCAGATATGCTATAGCACTCATGATTTGGACATTATGAAATTTATGACCTATAGTCTCAGGTCATCAAAGGTGTTTAGGTGCCTAACTCCCAAAGACATCAATGGGAGTTAGGTACTTAAATACCTTGGAGGATATGGGCCAAACACCTTTCATTCACGCACAAATCCCAACACTTGCAGAGAGAGGAGCCCTGCAATACTGCTGTAATGTGGCTATCCCTGTAAGGGGTCAGCGCATTCGGCTGTTAACTGAAAGGATGGGGGTTTGAGCCCACCCAGGGATGCCAGTGGTTTGAGCATTGGCCTGCTAAACCCAAGGTTGTGAGTTCAATCCTTGAAGGGGCCATTTAGGGATCTGGGGCAAAAATCTGTCTGGGGATTGGTCCTGCTTTGAGCAGGGGGTTGGACTAGATGACCTCCTGAGGTCCCTTCCAACCCTGGTATTCTATGATTCTATGACTGGTATTTCCCTCCAGCACACTATGGACTATGATGTAACTCCTCCCTCCGCCCCCCCGTTGATCATACAAGTTGTGTGGGTTGGCTTCAAGCAGCTTCACCCCCAATCCAGCATGTCTTCTCCCATACAGGGACAAAACTGAAGCTCCTGTGTTCTGTTCTGTTAAGGACCTACTCCCAGGGACATGGGACAGCCCAAATGGGGCTGGGAGGAGGCAGGGCCTGTCATGGGAGGCAAAGCTGGCTTGCTGTGTGGGGGGCACATGCTTTACTCTGTAAGGGCACGTGCAAGGTGTGCTCTCCCCTTAAGTGCCTCCCAGAGGCCATGGTGCTGGAACAATTTTTATAGTGGGGGTGCTGACGAGCAGAAACCCTGTATTTGGGTTGTTATTACTACTGCACGTAAGGGGGTGTGGCAGCACCCCAGCACTCATAGTTCCAGCCCCTGTGCCAGGAGGTGCTGACTCCCCACCATCTCTAACTTGTGTCTACACCTTCATGGGGTAGTCTGACTCCACATAAGAGTAAGGGTGGGAAGAATCTAATAAAGGTTTTTCTTACAAAGTTGAAATGATAGAAAAATTACACAGGCCCGAATCAGTGG